GCGGGCGCGAAAGGCGAAGGAGTGTTATAAGGATAAAATTCTGCTAAACGCGCCGGGGCCGGCGCGTAATGCTTAATGACGCGTGCGGAGTCATGTGTGACATTTACTCGGGAGTTTTCCGCGTCATTGCGCGGTCCGCTTATTATTCAAAGGGTACGCTTTCATGTCGGTCCACCGATAAATTTTTAAGCTCCGGTGCACCTTTTTTACCAGCCAAACGCGGATATGGATTTTAGAAAATGTTACGGGAGTTACGCGTTCTCCCCCCGTTCGCTCCCACCTCTCCGCGTCCCGTCGACGTGTGGACGGCGAGACGGTGTTGATCTCGCATATCGCGACTGAATGTCGACGGGATCGATCGCGAATTAATCGTACGTGCCCGTCTCTCGACAACGGACGGTCTCTTGATGGCGACGAGCGCGAACCGAATGTTAAAGATTAAAATTGAGCGCGGACGAGGTGGAAAATGCGATTCCCCTTCGTGTCTACTTCTCTCTTTCTTTTTCTCCATCTCTCTCTCCCTCGGGACTTTCCACCGAAAGAATGTATTTCCCCGTCTCTCACTTGCCGTTCTTTTAACACGCGATATAATTCAATCGGAATACGAAAGTTCCTCCCCCGTTCTTGGCAGAGTTTCCGATTAATTAACTTTTTGGCAATCGACGTTAAGCGGGAGCGCTCCGTGAGCGCTAAGTGCTCTCCATTTGCGATCCCACGATCCGCTTTTCGTGAGCGAGAAATTATCGGGCCGTAATTTATCGGCGGGAGACTCTAAAATCCGACGCGCGATTTCTTTTTGCTTCTCTCCCGTCGAAGGCGGAGACACGAAAACTGATTGGGTCAATCAACGGCGCCGATGACACCTCGGAACGAATGTACGCGGCTTTGAACGAGAGAGAGAGAGAGAGAGAGAGAAGGAGAGCAATTTGTAACTGCAATCCGCAGTTTCCTTTCCCACGCATTTACATCGGAATCCGTTTCTATGCATACACAGTTCTTCCGTTTCTCCCGTCCGCTATTTATCTCCCTCTCGCAGTCATTCCCACCCCTAACTCGCTTCTCTCTCGTTTTCCTCCACGCGGAATATCCTACCCCGTCGCTCATTTCTATCCCTCTCTCTCTCTCTCTCTCTCGGTCTCTCATCTCATTTCTTCCCAAAGCTGGGCGTCCGACTCTTTTTCTGTCACTCCGCGCTCCTTGTCTGTCGCGTCCGCTTTTGTCCGCCTATGACGTTCTTTTTCCCCTACCGCGCTCTATCCTCTCGACGTCTGCGCCTATCTGACTTCCTCCGCTGTCTGTCGCGATGGCTGTGTCCCACCAGTCGATCGTCGTGCCAGAAAATAATGTTTTTATTATTAACCGGATCGCACGAGTTTCGCGGGGAAATGTGTTTTTCGCGAGCGGTTAACGATTTCGTCGATTCCCCGGCGCGTCTCTCCCGCTTGCTTCGCCGCAAAGGAAGAGCGTGACTCGACGTTTTTATAATATCGATTCGCGATCTGCTTATCTGAATCGATCTAAGGGTTATTCGCGACGGTCTTATCGGTTTTAACTGGCACACGCGAGGATAATCGCTGAGAAGCGATGCGCGAATTTTCTCGCCAACTCTCCCCCGAGAGATAGAGAGAGTGAGAGAGACAGTGTGAGAGAGAGAGAGGTAGAGAGAGAGAGAGAGAGAGAGAGAGAAAGCTCGAGGACTGAGTCACACGGCCGTGTAATCTTTCGCATAATAAATCGCCCCGGTGGCGATATCAGTGGCGAGATCAGATGCTATCGGTGTTATCAGTTACGGAGGCGCAACGGGTAAGCGACGACTAGCGGGTAGAGGGGATAGGTGGACGACCGCGGAAATCAGTGCCGTACTCTCTCTCTCTCTCTCTCTTTCTCTCTGTTTCTCTGAGCGACCCCCGTCCTAAGGGCTTTGCGCGAGTTACAAATGCGGTTTTGTATCTAGCTATGCGGGCAAAGTAATGGGCTTAGATAATCCTGATTTAATAAATCGAACAGTTATGAGGCGAGACGCGCACGGCGGGGTCGAGGGCGGCGAGAAAGAGAGAGAGAGACAACGACGACGACGATGATGACGAAGACGACGACCACCAGCAGCAGGAGCAGCTCCCCGTCGCCGGCGTTTCGCAGTGTGCGCGTGACTAATGCGTTCAAAAACAAGATGGATGGATCCGTGGACCCGGCCCGGCCGGGACTTTCTTTGCATTTACATTTTCGCACTGTATCAGTCGCGACGATTTAAAGAATAACGATCGGACGGGCTTTGCGGCGCGCCCCAAATCGGTTTTTCATCGTTTCGCCGAGAAAGGGCGAATCGCGGCTGCGAATCGTCTCGGGTCTCTTCGCGGCTAAATTGCCCGGAGAAATTTATATCCCCGTACGTACATATACGTGTGCCCGATGATTCTCCCCCGTGGTCTCCTTCATTTTTATTTCAATAGCTCGAAAATAAGAAATCGTCGAATCGTTCGCGCGAACTCGACGAATTTTATATTTAGCAACTTTATTTTGAAAAAGAAACGCGCGCGACAACAAGTTTCCGCTCGACGCGACGCGCGGCATTCGCGTTTCTGGAGAAGCGGGACATCGTATTTGGATTTATTAAGGGTTTAATGCGTATGTGTGTGTGTGTTTGTGTGTGTGTGTGTTTGTGAAATGCTTTATCGTCTTTAAAGCTTGCTTTAGCAAAGTAAACAGGGTCGCTACTAATAGAGAGAAACTAGGTCGGGCCGCACGATCCCGAGGGAGAGTTCGGTAAACTTAGCATCAATTTTGATTGTCCTCAGTTCCTCTCCGATCCATTGAACGGTATCACGGAAATTGCGAGTCCTCGCGAACGGACGGACGGACGGATCTTGTTTATCCTGATTGCGAAATATCGTGCGTGCGTCGAACTCTGCCAATCATCATGCACGCTCGGAGACTTTGATGCGTTCCCAACAATCCCTCCCCCCCCCCACCCATCGGGATATTTCCCTCCAATTCAGATATCTCCAGACACGCGCGACAATTCGCGTGATTTTACACGCCGCGTGACGCGGGACGATCGAGCAAATCCTTCCCTTATCAGGCGACTAAATTTAACGACAACTTAAACGCACCGGCTATCTTTTTCCTCGCATCTCCTCCCCCCTCTCTCCTCTTCCCCGCGCCCCTTTTGCCCTCCCTCACGGGAGACCGGCACGAAATACAAATTGGACTTTCGTTGCGGGGCCGAACTGCTTTTTTACGTCCGACGTTGCTGCAGTCAATCCCTGCAGATTGTCCATTCGCCTGCCTCTCCGTTATCTTAATTCCTCGAGTATTTTAATTTTCATCCGAACAGCCATTAACTTTTACGGCCGGCCGTTTACTTTTTAATTCGTTTACCGCTTCGCGCTCGCCCGCTCGCCCGGGACGCTTATATCTTTAATTTAAGCTCTCGACTTGGCGGCCATTGAACAAGCCTGCGGATTGGGGTTGGATACGGAAGAGCGGCGGCGTTGGCGGTGGCGGTGGCGGCAGCGGGGGGAGGGGGGCGGCCAGAGGAGGGAGGTAGAGGAGGAGTTTAGCGGGGGCCACACGCTGGCATGGATCGGGGGTGGTTTGTGGGTGCAATCGCTACGGTGAAGCTCCCCCGTGCTCCCCTGACACCCGTTACGTTAATTAAATACATTGTTGCGGGGACACAGACTCCTACTGTGTATCTCGAGCTTTATAGGTGCGGAGGGGCACCTTAAGTTAGCGCCGTTTCCTACCTTCCCCGCCGCCTGTTCCCATGCGAGGCGGATGGACGGGCGGGGGAGGGAGGGGGCCCAGTCGATGAATTTTCTCCGGGCCCTTTGCCCGTTAATTCAAATGTTATAGACGCCCGTTAGAGTCGAGCCCGGCGTATTAATCGAGAGGTCGGATGAACTCCGCGAACACACGGTGTCCGTAAAAGATGTCGACGTCGACAGTCGGCGATTCTGGCGAAGAAACGATAGGGATTCTTTTTACCATCGCGTTTCAACCTGCCGACATCGGACGCATCAACATGCGGCTGAATATCCAAAGATTTTTGTTTTCACTCGTTCGATATTTGTGTCTCGACTGTGAGGTGCAGAAGGAAATTCCGGTTGAACGGATCCGTTTATACACGGGGAAGAAAGATCGGTTGTATTCAAATGACATTGCGAATGAACCGAGTACATTTTCTCGAATCGACATTTTGATGCTGCTCTGACGCTCTTAAGCCCGGTTATTCATTTTCTGATTAACTTATGGTTTAAATCGATGATAATGCAAAAATTGTGTTTTTTTTATTCATATTTAATTATTAAACTGATGGTTTCGTAGTGATAACTTTTAAAATTTAATGACTAACCATGAATAGAAAACACAATTTTTACGTTACTATCAGGTGAAACCTAAACCACAAATTAACCAGAAAATTCAAAGCCGGGCCTTAAAAATAGTTTGCGCCTATTTAGACGACCATTAAATTAATAAAAACCTATTTTGACGATATTGACATTTTATTAACTTCTCCCTTAAACCTTTAATTCTACAGTTTAAATTTTAACGTTACCTTCAACAACCTACGCTAAAATAGCGAAAACGGAAAATTAAATCATCTCCAGGACCAAAATAGAGGTTATATTATATTATTAGAATTGAAATTGAATTCTATCTTACTATCTTAGCTCCTGCTATTTTATAGAATTAAAAGTTTAACGCAGGGCTAAAATTTCGACTCAGATTGAAAAAGTGAAGAAAACGGTATTTCTGATCTCGAGAACCGAATTTAGTTCGCAAGAATGAACAATTCCGTTTCCTCTAACGAAGACGGGTTTGGCTCATTAATAATCACGTTTATTCGCGACCAATCTTTCTTCTCCGTGTGACAAATCAGCCCGGCGACGCACTCTCCGGCGCGTGTGCGACACTGGCGAGTGCGTCGGAGGGTCGAAAACGCGGAGAATCTCATCGGGTGGCCATTGATACGAGCGGCCGGCACTTTCGGTTTTCAGGTGTGGTTCCAGAATCGGCGGACCAAGTGGCGGAAGAAGCACGCGGCGGAGATGGCGACGGCGAAACGGCGGCAAGAGGAAGTCGAGGGCGTCGTCGCCGAGGGTGAGGACGGGTGCAGCGACGCGGAGGCCGACGGCGGCAGCGGCGGCGGCGGTGGCGGCGGCGGTGGCGGCGGCGAGACCGCCGCGAAGAGGCTGCGAAGGGAGCTCGAGCAGCAGTACAGGCACTGAGGGCCGCCGACGGGGGTGGCCCGGGGACACGCGGGGGTGCGAAAAAAGGGGAAAAGAGGGATGCAGAGGAGAAGGATAAGGCGTGGCTGGGGGCGGCGCGTTCCGAGGTTCCTCGCGGCTTCTGTTCGGAGAACGCGCGTGTCGGCTTCGAAATGATCGCGGAACGACCGAACGGTGGAGAGAGAAAGAGAGAATGAGAGGGACAGAGAGAAAGCAGAGAGGAACCGGGGGAAAGAGAAAGAGAGAGAAAGGGCGACGTACGTGTGCGGGTGTACGCGCGTGTGTCTCCGCGTGTCTCTCTTCGTGATTTAGCCGGACGCTTAACGCGGAATCGCGAGTGACGCGCGGGGGGGTGGTGGTTGGTCCGGAGGGGGAATCTTCTTGGAATCGCGGGGAAAGCGGGGGAGAAGGGGGGCGATTTTTAAGGGCGGCGTTATTGATATTCACGTCGTTGTCTCGATTTTACCGGGTCAATTTTTGTTGCTCGTTTACGAACGATTAAAAAGTCAAAGGATTTGCGAAGGGGATTGAGGAGAGATTTCGAGTGAACTCTTCTCTCAGGTGGATTCCGCCAGCCCGACCGGAATTTTGATTCGAGGCTACCTCCCACTCCTTCCGGTCAAAAATCGCGAGGTACGAGCACATCGATTTCAGAGATCGGGAAGACAATTCGCGAACGCGAAGGGACTATATCGCGTTCGAACGTTCGTAAGATAAAAGTACCGATACCTGACTTGAAATAAACGTACTTAAATAAAAATATATGTACATATATTGTATATGTACGAATATTTTATGTTTAAAGATTAAACATTCGTATTTAAAGACCAAAACAAGAAGAGTGTCCACAGTTAGGTAGATGTCCAGGAATTGGTACTTTTACCTTACATTCCCGAAGAGTTCCGAAATTGATCGAATCTGAAGCACACGTCAGACGCGATCATCTCGCGAACGACTGCGTGTTTATCGACCCACACCACCGACTCGACATCACTCAGACTTCGCCGCTGTGATCGTCACGTGTTTGGCGGGAAATAACAGCAACGCGCGCAAACATTGTTAACACTTTCCCGGGAGGACGACGTGTTACCACACCGCCGGACGAAATCTCTCGATCGCGTACGCATATTTAGTCGCTCGCACTGCGAGAGCACGCGGAGGAATCGATAGGAAGGGTTTGCCGAGCTGCTTACGCGATGGCAGATTAGTCGCCAGGGGCTTTGTTATCCATCCGACAAACAACGCACAGCAAATATGGCAAACAACGCGCGCGCGACGCGACGTCACCCGTCAAGAAGGTGTTAATGGATAACCATAAATCCAAGAAGCCGAAGGGCAATCTGTTGTACGTTCAAGCGTTCCTAACTAGTCGACCATTATTGGGAAAATTGCGCCGAGACTTACTCGTCCCCCCCTCCCCTTAGTTTAATAAATATTTACACGTAAACGGCAAATTTTCACGGGGCCGAACAATGATTTTCTTTTCTTTTTCATGATAGAGGAGAGTTGCCACGGTACTATTTAAGGGGATACCAAAATCGATGACAAACTTGATGAGTGTCGATAACGTGGAAGCGATCTTCGAAATGTTATGTTATTTAAACATTGACACGATCACGCTAGTCTTTTCCCGTACGTATATATCTTGTGTAAATGTAAGTACGACATAAATATGAATGTAATGAATGTGAGATTGTTCTCTGTTCAACTATGTCTAATGAAAAATCTAACCAAGATATATACACATATTTTTATGAAATTTTCATATCTTTTGATACCTCTAAATTTGATTGAAAAGGTATAAGGATGTATTTTTTAAATGTTCCTGATTGGAATATTGGCACACTCGATACGTACAAGCAGATTTCCTATGTCAGGTGAATATTTACGCTAACTGACAGCTAAATATGTCACTTTGAAATTTTTAATCATTTTCACATATCCAGCAATGTTTCAACTTATTTTCGCGCGTATTTCCAATATGTAAACAAATTTATAATTCTGCGCAACCAATAAGACGTAAACTTTGTAAAAAAAAAAAAACCAGTATTCTATCGGTAAGATCTTCAAGTATGGCATCCCTTTAAGATACATTCAAAATGATTATATCACACAGAAAACACAATGCAATTCAAATTTTGCTTGTTTTTCATTGTTCATTTATTTTATATGTTTACCATTGGATCGCGCTTATATTCAATAATTACAGATAAAAATAATGAGGTACAATTTAGGTGACTAATACGAATTAGGCAACTCTCCTCTAATTCTATTTCTTTTTCTTAGTAAATTTTAAATTACGCGATTGGACACTCGAGATCGAAAAAACCTTATTTGAATTTTACAGATTCGCGGGTACGACGAAGGCAGAACTTTTTATATCAGGCAGTGCTGTTTAACACCTGCCTCGCTCTTTCATGTATGCTGCTATCTAAACGTTCTCAGTTTATGAAATATTAAAATCTCATTTTTCTCCCAAAACGTTTTGTATTGTTCCATAAATTTCTGCGATTCCCTGGTCGTGTGTTGAACAGCATTGAGTGATCATAGTAAAAGCAATGCGAAACCGATCATTCAGTCGATCGTACCGAACTGATGACTTGGTCTTCTTCTCGAAGTGAATCGCGAAGCATCATGAAAATTACGTATCGCGGTCAAACTCACGGATCTATCGTTAGAACATCCAAGAGAATCCACAGTGAGAAATCACAAGCCAGTGTCGAACACGTTCGAGCAAACGCGCGTCTATGCCGGCGAATTACGACGAACGGGATCGACGACGAGAGTCGACGAAATGGACTTTGTATATTATGTAGATAAACGGTAAACGTGAATGTGATATCTAACGTATTTAATACGGCGTTCGGTTCTAGAGACGCGTAAGTGAAGTAACTAGATATCGTCTGTTTAGACTAAAAATAAAATGCAGAGGAATAGGAATATAGTATATATACACATACACACAACCAGGTGCGCGCGCGTGCACACACACACACACACTCAAACACAAATAAATCGCACGTGGCGTGCGTCTAAACTCGTAACTCCTGGTCTGGTTTTTTAGCCGCACTTTCTTGCACTTTCCGCATTTAAAATGAGACAGGTGTATATTCGGGATTCACCGGCGGAGGGAGGGGGAAGAAGGAGAGAAAGAGGAGAAAACAAAAAAAATACGAAAAGTGCAACTAAAAAGAACAAATCTTTTGTATTCTTGCCGCGGGTTAGCGCTAAATACGGTCGCCTGATTCCGCGTTTTATTCGCTCAATATAAAAACGTTATTTTTAATAGAGCACACACGAAGCTTTAATTTGTGAAGTGTAAATGCGGAGACTTTGTAATACGCTTTGCTAAATATACTAAGGCCTCTTCACGGCTTTACATATTGTATATCTCAATAAATATAAAAGAGAGATATCGTTTCAATATATATCAAAATAATCCCTATTATATATGAAACTCTCCGCTCAGTGAATAAATATTAAATTTAATATAAAATTATAAACAACAAGTTTATTTTGAATTCTCCTTAGAAATTTTTACTCAAAAAAATTTACTCTATTTTTCAGTTGACAAAATGTTATTTTTGGAACAAGAAAAAGACGTATATTATACCATAAATAAATAAAAAAAGTAAATAAAATAATTAACTTACGTGAAAATGTATATGCGAGATTAAAGTCAGACTGTGCCGTTTTTAGCCGAACTTACGACAAGAATACAAGTTGTAGACCTTGATAAGCGTTAATCGCTGTGTTCAGCAACGGGCAGGACCCTAATTTGAGAGCCCCGTGAACGAGAGATGTTTTCAAACATCCGGACAAAGAAAAGAAAAGAAAAAGAAACTGAATGCTACTTCGCGTGCTGCGATTAAACGAACGATCAAGCGTTTCTTAAACACGTCCTAAGTTTCTCATAATGTTTATCGAGTATCCGACAACACATTGCTGTACAGTACACTAGGTAAATTGTTAATTGAAGGTAGAGACAATCTGTATAAAATATTGTATAAATTATACATACGTGTTATCTATCGCTTGTGTATTATATCTCCAATTTAATAAATGGAACACGTATTATGGTAATTGTAGAATTATATTATATATCTCGTAATGCATTTGCTTCATTTGCCCATCCCACCCTCTTCCCAATCACATTGTATGCGCGATTTTCAGCGTCGTGTTAAAATCATTTTAACGAAAGGTACATGTGCGTCAGATAACTTTCAAAGTTTCGCGAATAACTTGATAAATATTTGTTAATTGTATACGAAGGAAAATATCATAAAGAAATGAAACCGCACGGAAAAAAATATTTTGTAGACATAGCAAATTGTCCGCGGTTACTATGATGACAGCAAAAAATTTGTTATATAAAAGAAATAATTTTCATTGTTAATTAATAATTTTGCTGTTTAAGCAAAGCATTGTTGCGACAGCGATCAAATTTAGTTGGCATAACCAAATTATTTTACTGTTCATATACCCAGCAAATAGCAATTAATACACATAACAAATCTTTTTGCTGTCTAAACAAATCTCTTTACTATCGCCATAATAACTGACAGTTTGCTGTGCCAGAAAAATACTTTTTTTCATGCGATAACAATAATAATGTTAATGGTCGAAGCAGTTATAAGTCGCTTTTCTTTTATTCCAAATTCTGTTTTGCGAGCATCAAATTTTTCTCTCTTCAGAGTAATATAGCTTATGCCGCAAATATATAGATTGGTTATATTGGTTATTATTATATCATATCATATTGGTTATGTGACAAAGAAAATAAATATTATGTGACAAAGAAAATAAAAATGAGAAAATTTGACGGAAATTCGCGGCAATAAAGCACTCACTGGATGATGACTCAATGATGGCGACCCAGTGATACTGTTCGATTCTTCCTCTACTAGATCGTCTCATTCGTGGATCTACGAATCCCGAAGTCGTGGATCTTTTCCTCTTCATCCCGTCTGCAAGTATGCAGAAAATACGTTAACAATTTT